ATTAAAATTACCCTTAAATTTTTTTTAAGTAGGTTGTAAAGGTTATACATTTAAGGTTAAATAATTTCTCTAACATTATTTTTTCCTTTTTTTAATTTTTTTCTTTTGACAACTGTAGGCCTATACAGGGTGGCTGAAAAGTAACTTACATCCCCCCCCCCATAACTTTTCAACCATTTGAGATATTTGAAATCTGTTTGTGGCAACCTTCTTAGGTATGAGCGGCTACAATAATTACTGTCAATTTTGAAAATTTTGCTCTTAGGGGTAGTGGGGATAGGGGGTAGCTCAAAATTGTCAAATGACAAGTATAGTAGAATTTGGTATCATTTTACAGGTCTTGACGAAACATAATAAATAACATAAATAAAATAGAAATTGGACCATTAGTAACAAAATGGCAGCTAAAAATGATTAAGACAATGGTTATTAAAAGTGATTTTGTTATTAACGGTCCGATTTCTATTTTCTTTATGTAAATTGTTATGTTTCGTCAAGACCTGCAAAATGATATCAAATTCGACTATACTTGCTATTTGAAAAATTCGAGCTACCCCCTACCCCTGCTGCTCAGGGAATTTTTTTTTTAAACTGACCATTATTATTGTAACCCTTCATATCTAAACAAGTTGCTGCAAACCGATTTCAAATATCTCAAATAATTAAAAAGTTAAAGGGGGTGCAAGTTAACTTTTTGCCACCCTCATGATTATTTAGATTTGGAACGTTTTGCTATTTTGTTATAAGTGGGCCGATTTTGGGTTTCTTTATGTCAATGTTTATGTTTCGTCATTACCTGTAAAACGATACCAAAGACGAATATACTTGTCTTTTGAAAATTTTGTGCTACCCCTAAGGGCAAAATTTTCAAAATTTACCATAATTTTTGTAGCCCCTCATATCTAAGAGGGTTGCCGCAAATAGATTTCAAATATATCAAATGGTTGACAAGTTAAGGGGGGGGGGGTGTAAGTTACATTTCAGCCATCCTGTATATTCAATGAGTACGTATTTCCTTTGAAGGAAACAGTTTTTAAACTTTGATGTCAAGCAAAAAGTAGGTATTGTTTACCTTTCCCCTATGTTTGTACCAATTTTTTTCTGATCAAAAGTAAGAATATGAATAAGAAGATGCATTTTCGTGAACAAATAGATGAAAACCGTTTAATCTTTTTATCTACATTGCCACATTATATATGTTGCTTTTATATAGGTTGACTGTACAAATAAAATACATAATAATCTAAGAAGATTATATTGGTATTACTGACTCAGACAAACGAAAAGTAATTTATTGAAGATTATTTATTTAGTTAAATAAGTACAAGATGTACGTTTATGTGACTAGATATTGTGATAAATCAGATTTTCAAACCAACAACATTTATGATTTAATACCGTAAGTTATTAAATATTTAACTTATTCGTCAGTTTAGGCCTACATTCCGTATACAACATCGTAGAAACAATATTAAGATTTTACCAACATTCCCTATATTTAATTGAGTGACATAATCTTTTCTAAATGAATCTACATATTACTCTGCAAATATTTTATTCACATAAGCTAAATAAATATTAATTGACCACGTTAACATGGTACACCAGTTAAATCGTGTAGAACTTTGACATTCCATTTGAATCGAGGATGGTCTAATGTGGTTTTGACAGAAAGTTTTATTTTTGCATTTATAGAAAGTTCGTTCAGGCTGTAATAGAAATTCGAGGCTTTATGTATCAAATACCTGTCTAACTCGTCGCCCTATATACTAGCATGACAGGATCACACCGGATATTAAATATGATATTGATATATTATTTATGGTCTGTCAAATATTTACCATATTTCAATTCAAGTCTTCTTTATAAAAGGAATATATAAGGATGAGTTTGACATTTTAGTATATAATTATTGTATTATTATATAATTATTATGCATAATATATTTACATTTGTTTTTTACAACCAACATGATCCAGAATTCCATATAATCATTGGATCAATGAAATGTTATCAAAGAGTTGTACAAATTTATGTTGGGTTAGGCTAGAGTTAATTTGAGTACTGTGGAGATAATTTTTTTTTACCAAATAAATTAAGATGATATTACGAAAAATATATTTCTGCCTTCAAGAGCATTCCTAGGATTATTAGTTAATCTCTAAACTATTTAATTTCCTTTTTGCATAAGGTAATTGACTTTGGTGTTTGGAAATCAAATTTTAAGGAATTTGACAAATATTTCACACGTTTTTTATTGTAAAGGTTATGAATTAGGATACGGCATTTTAGTGCTTAAAAAACAGAAATATTAAATTTGCTAAAGCATTTAGCACAACCTGTCTGAGGATCAACTAGGTTGTCCAGTTATGGAAATGGTTAGCTTCGCTCAATTTGAATTGTTAAAAAAAATTACAATCAAAGTTGAAATTTATAAAAAAAAACTCCTTACACTTTTTAGCCAATATAAACATCAAATAGCATAGGTAACTTCTAAACAACAGTAATTAAGATGTTTTCTTCTATTCGAAGAAAGTGTATAGGAACTGATAGGGAATTTTAGACCAACAGTAAGTTAATACGAGTATATATAGTTACTCTAGCTTATTTAAATAGCCTACATAATATGCCAAAAGCTAATTTCTTAATTGAATATATAGGCCTAGCTAATTTAAGAAATTCACAAATGTTCCATTAGATAACTACTATTCGGTTGGTAATTTAATTTTTCACATATATTTTAAATTAATCAATTAGAAAATGAAATACTTATCACATTTTTATCGGAACGATTTCCTGAAAAACAAAAACTTAATCAAACTCAAAACAACCGTAATTTCTATGTAATTTCGAATCAAAAATCTTTTCAATTTACAAATAAGCTTGCATTACTACCCAAAGTAATTCACACTTTTTTATTTATCAAACCCACAGACGTAGTGATCAGAAAGCTAAGGAGAAGAAGGTCATTGAAAGGTTGTTGACGAGTCTTCACAAGTCACAAGTGCTTTTGTGAGGGCTTTATAATTGGGGACAGGAAATGCACGATTCACCTTCAATTTGCTACAAACATTCCACTTAAAATATTCCAATTAGAATGTTTCCCTTGGTCAAAAGAAGAGTCAGCCGATTTTAATTGAATTTATTCCCTAATCACATTTCAATATTGCAAGTTTGTATACTTCTAGATATGCAAGAAAATCTGTTATAGGTACACATAACCGTCACACATATCTGTCAGGTTAATGGAAAACAAAATATCTCACAAAGAAATATCTTGTGGTCATATATTTTTTAGACTATATTTTGATATCGAAACTAAAACAGCAGCCTTATGGATCTTTGAGGCAAAAACTGAAAGCTACTTTCCAAACTGGTTACAAGTGTTGGTACTTGACCTCACCATTTCACACTATATACCAGTTGACATATTCATTAACAATGGTGCTCTCGTCTTTTATGTGAATCGCTGACAAATAAAGAGGGATTGGGTTACCATGTACCATGTTTTTTCCAATACTGATCCTATGTTGTCATAAGTATTAATAAATAGCACAATGTGGATTTTCTCTGTTACCTCCCATTTTCAACCGTCCAATTTATCTCCAATCTTTACGATTGAGGTGTCATTTTATAGAACAAACAAGTTACAAGAAAGGTAAAGTCTTTTAGGATTCGTTCCTCAGCTTTAATTTGGTTCTAGAGTCCTCTAAGGCGAATCCAGTTCAACTGAATGACTTTCCTTTTAACGGAATTATATGTAAATGTGGATTGTATTAATAGCAGATCATTCAGTTAAAAATGTTTAACCGCAGTCATATTATAAACAAGAGATGAAACGTTTTATAAATGGTTTTTAAAATTTCCTACCTTTGGGAATAATAGTAAACCGATTGGGGAAGGTAATCACTATTTATGGTTTATATCTAAAATCTACGTAATAATTTACTGTAAATTAGTATTTTTATTCACCTAATGTCTTAGCCTAACATAACAAATAAAGGTAGAAGGGTATTGAATGATTATTTTGGCTTCCGAAACAATCATACAAATCTGTTAAAATGCCCAATTTTTTTAAAAAGGCGTGCATTATCATTTGATTAACGAGACTACAAACACTTGATCGACCAAACGGCAATAACGTCAATATAAAAAAAAATCTTTTAATTTGTGATGAACATTTTCGAAAAACTACACTAAAAACATTGTGCAAGTGATAGTTTTAAAGCTTAAAAACTGTGTTACGCTCTCTGTATTACATGTTGTCGGGACATAAAATCAGGACTTCAACCCAAGTTTATAAGTCATGTATAACAGACACTGCCAGTATTAGCCATGCTAAGTGAATATAAGCACCGTATGTCATTGTTTGGCAAATGATCAAACTTGACTAGCCAAACATGTGGCTTTTAGGGAAGATGTTATGACTTTACTCTAATATTATTCCAGAAAACACTGCCAAATGACACATATTGCATCTGATAAAGAACAGTACATGTACTAAGAAAGTCGTTTTTTAAGCGCTCTACTTGTGAGAGGTGTAAACCTAAGGCTCATATTGGTTGGTTGCTCAGTTTGTAGCCATTTGAAGCCAAGGATTTGATGCCACAGGCTCGGATCTTATCAGTAGGCCTACTACAGTTCAAATATTGTAAGTTACCAGATCATCCCTTACTTTGCTGAATACGGACAAACGCAAGGCTAAAGAGCCTACCTCTCGGAAAAACACATTTGCTTAGGGCTTCACAAACTACGGATTAAAAAAATACGTTAACATTTAACTGCATTCTGACGATAGCCATGAATCAGCACCAGCTGGTCTTCAATAGTAGTTACCTCCTACTGCTTGTATTGCTGCTTTCTTGTTTTCAGCCCTATGCATTAAGCATTGAATCATGTTGTGCAGTGATTAGTCATTGGCTTCGGCTACTGAACTAGCAGAATTTCCTACGTAGAAGTAAAACTTAATATTACATTTAAAAATGTGTATTCAAACTTACTAGATTGATGGTGACTGCCAGATCATGTTGTTGATGTCTCTGCCCCTTCTTGTTCTTTTGTTTTCCACTAGCTGCTTTGACTGGAGGGGGCGCTGGCTTCGGCTGAGTTTTGACTTGTCCCTTCTGTGCAGTTGGAGGTTTCTTGACCGGTGTTTGAGAGGATTTGGCCTGCGGCGTAGTCGCTGACTTCTGTCCGGCTGTTCCCTTTTGGTTGACATGACCCCCTCCGTCTGCAGGCTTGTTGCGTGCCTGCACAATAAATACTGATTAGTAATACATTAATCCTCTATTTTTATTTATTACGTTCCACGGTTGTTCAAGTACATACACGTTGTGCAATTTACTGTCAAAACAAGGAAGCAGCTGTCTTCAATTTGCCAAATCCTAAAATTAAATAGTGTAGTTCTTCCCTCGTACAATATTGGCTCAACCCTTGATTTACGTGTCCTATGTACATGTCTTCATGGCAAATGTGAACAGGTAAATGCAAAGACAGCAGCTGGATGTTAAAGACCAATTAAACCATATTTGATCAATCTTACGATTTTTTTCCAGTAACTTAATTTGAATAAATCGTGATCACCTAAGAGTAAAGAAAAAATATAAAAACAACACCACTTCCCATTGTAAAGTAAACGAGTCACATAATTTTTAGCCAACAATAAGCAGACTCATGTGATACTACACAGTTAGTTTTGGATTGGTTTTTTTTTTATTTATCGGTACGTAAATGTGAGTTTCTACGCTTACTATCAATTATACATGACTGCCTAGAATGCAAAAGCTGGAAAAAATGTATATAGCACGTAAGCATTGCTACAGTTACTATAAACTAACAAGATCCATGCGAGAATGTTTTCTTATTCTGTTACATAACCTAATATTTTTTTTAATCATTTGTATCTAATAACGGTTGAAAAATGTAATAATAAAGACGCGCGTTCATTAGGATTGAGTTGAGAGTTTAACTACAAATGGAACAGTTAAACTCTACTTCAGTGAAATAATGGTCAACCTATTCCACTTGAAACGTCTTTCTCGACTTAATCTTAAACTTAATTATTGTTGTTTTTTTTTCAAACAGCGTTCTAGACTACTTATAAGAGCCCGTGTATAAGCCTACTTATGTGTTGATTATATTGAGGGTACCATTATTGTACATTTTGAAAGGATGAATCTTTTGACTGATGTGGTAAGGAATTATTTGGAAGGGGAGCCCAATTCCCAAACATATTGGAAAATGTCAAGCGGGATCTTTGCCTAGCCCGCCCATCACAACAATGTTATTGATATCACAAATATTGTAATAGGAGAATCTGTCAGTATATCAATACTGATTAAAGAATAAAAACAGTATTAATGTAATATTATTCAATTAATTATTGGCCATGTAAAAATTAATTTCAATAATTTATATTGTTTCGCTAATGTTATATACAAAATAGGAATCTGCCAAAATATTTTAATTTTAAATTAATTTAAACGAATAGTATTTAGGCTTTTAGTGAGTTCATTTTTTATTAATCCAGTTATAAATTCAAATCTTGTCAAATTTACTTTTTAAATACTATATAAAATGCTAAAAAAATAATTTTTGGTCGTTGCACTATAATAATAGAAGGTTTTGAGTGTGTAACATTAAAGATTCATTCAAATTGGTTTAGACGATACAGTTTTTCAAACGTAGTAATTTTAAATACCACATCAAATTTTGGAAGTATTTAACAAACCTATAACATAAAATCTTATTGGGGTTTCTACTCTAGATTACGGCACATAGCCAATATTATTCTTTTACCCCACAAGAAGTAAACATAACCATCAGTCTGGCTTAAGCGTTACCTTACATTGAAGAACTGTCAGATCTTAGGTTTATAGAGTCCAAATCTAATGTCTTTTAACGTCTTATCAGAACACTTTTAACTTATACACTTTGTGTGTGTACCAGATCGAAGTAATGGTCTAAGTTACGTCTAATGCAAAGCCCTTTGACGTTGTGACTACCAACTATCAAACTTGGGCTATATCAAGTTTGAAACAGCTTGGAGAGTTTGGACACCAAACTTTAAGAACAGCACAACTTAAATGAATTAATTGTAGAACCTTAAATAACTAATAGGCTCTAAAATGATGAGGATCCTGGTTTTATTTTGTATTTATTATAACTGAATTTATATTTTTTTTCATTTCTCAATTTCAACTATGTCACTTTAATTTTTTTTTTTTATGCTGACTGTTTTACACAAAAAATTAACCTTTTACCTCTGCGACCTGTAAGGCCTTATTTACAGGTCGCAGAGGTAAAAGGTTAATTTTTTGTGTAAAACAGTCAGCATACAAAAAAAAATGAAAGTGACATAGTTGATTTAGAACTGACCCCCGCAAAGATTTAGAATATATACTTGAATTATGTTTACAATAAAATATTTTTCCTTCACAATATGATTTTTACTTATGTATCTTCTCGACACAGCAAGACATTAATATTCCAACATCAAAAGAGTTCGTGTTATAACAAGTCCAATCATTAACAGCCTTTATGTAGTATATCTTGCAATATTTTAAAAGTATAATAACATCGCTATTCCATAAATAATAAAATTATCTGTAGTTAACAACATTAACCAGCATAAACTTTAACCTACAAATATTTTTGTAATATTTTTGCTTGAAAACAATTTGTACATACAGCTATACAACGTTTTATGCTACGCTACAGCAGCTTTAAATTAGTAACCTTAGAAAGTTTTTATCTATTACTAAAACTAAATGTATGGATACAATAATACAACATGAATTTTAAAAGTGGTTTGTTTGATAGCTAGTAGTTTTTTGGTGTTAGTTAGTGAGTCAGATTTTTCTGCGAAAGAAAAGGGTCTTATTCCAGGTGCACCCTATATTTTAGGGATTTGAACCACTTTACCTTAAACTTTATTGTGAATTTCTTAAAATGTAATTTGAGGAGACACAAATTAACAAATCCAAAGTCTGTCATGGAAATTGCATTTAACTACGCTAAATCATTCTCACAGTCAGCCGCATTACAATACTGCAGTGGTTTCCAGCCACATAATAACCTCGATCTAATCGATATCTCAGTAAAAGGAAACTGCAGTGAAGACTGACCGTTAGTGGACACGATAGCCCCAACATAGCCGTACCTCTGTGCTGACAGCCATGACAAACTATCCCTTAGCACGCAGAACTGTCCTCACAAGAAACTCGCCTAACATAGGAGTTGCCGGCAAGCAACATAGTAGACTAGTTAAAACTGTGGGATAAACGAGACATTTCTTTGATTTCATTCTGTTTTAATAGCTGTACAGGTTGCAAAGAGTCAAAGACGCAATAGCACACTTTGTTTAAAAACACTTTTTTTGCCATCCATAACTTAAACATGCACATGCAGATACAATATCTTTCAATTTGTAATAAAGTAAATTGGTGGTGCTTCAACCAACATTTAAAAGCACGGAGCACAAATGAAATAAAAGTGAAATACTTGTAATATGTAGGCCCTACAATTTTGTTAAACCAACAATACTTTTAGATAGGACAGTAATTATGTCTTACATTAGCATGTAAAGGACTACATCTGTTGCAAAACGAATAATAATTATATACAGTTTTTAAATGTTAAAAGGGCTTTCTTTGTACTACTTTACTAAATCAATAATTAATATGTTTTATTAGCATTTGTGAATTATTTAAACATAAACCTGCTTTAGTTATATGTAAAGCTGACCAATTATTTTATAAAAGAACAACGAAAGTCTTAAATATAAATTTAGCTATAAGGGTGTTAAATGACTGTTGGACATGGTTTTGCTTATTTATTTTTTTAGTTATAGGTTTAAAAAGAATGTTCAAGAACCCATGGTTATTTTATTGGTGATTTTACACAAATATCACTGTATTTCAAATGTGTAAGAGTGAACAATTTTTGTTCATAAAACAGTATTGACGTGTTGAGTCCTAATATATAATGCATTTTTGATATGCCGTTTGTACAAATAAGATTCATAGAAACTGTGAGACTATATTGACTGTATGCCCTAACTTTTTTTCTCTTTTAGAAATCATCGTTTGTTAGAATCAATGGTTTGATGTGCTTATCCGGTGAGTTCCGCCATCTTGGATCCGCTTCCGCTTAGCTCGGCGTCTTACCGGAAGTTTCCGTTCGATTCCGTGATAACTCTGATAAGAAAGTCTTCTCTTAGTTAAATTAATTTGATTTCACATCATGTTGAATATAAGCTGTCATTACAAAAACCTAATAACAGTAGCCCGGTTAAATGTCAATCAGGAACTGTATTAACATTTAATTAGCCTAAAACGAGGTTCTGTATTTATTAGTTTGGATGCTTATAATCAGCATTAAATTGTGTAAAGAAATGCACGACGAGGTTTATATCGTAATATTCTTATCACTGTATTTCTTTTTATAATCTAAACTATTAGCTATCAGACAAACGTATCCAACAATTACTTGCACTTTTACCATTGACACATAACTCAAAGAATATAGCAAACCATTGTTACTTTGAAGAAAATAAAATTGTTTTAAATGTACAATATATTACACCAAATACTCCTTTTTTGGTGACAAGTGGATTTGTAAACCTATTCAGATTTATCATTTCAGATTAATTTTTATGGTTCATGAGCACTAAGTAATTCTCTCGAACGTTTGGTCATTTCGTACATTGTATACTTTACCCTTTCACCATAGCACCAGAGTAGTTGAAGATTTCAAAGATTTTTTTTAATAAACCAATAGACGTAATAAACAACTTAAGCATTACCGGTGTAAAATAGCATATTCCTTACGAACTTTTCTTCATCTGATATAAGAATTGCAAATCCATGAGAGAGAACATTTAGAAGGCTAAGCTTGCGTTGTGTAGAAATAAGCATGAATATTTTCCTTAGAGTATTATCAAAGTGTAACAACACTAATGTAACTATTTGTATTTGATAAATACCATATTTAGTTACTTATTTCTATTAGTTAGGAGAATTTCCCCATACATGTATTATCTTTTGAAACACCTGATTTATAATGTTAAGGCTAAACACCCGTCCGGTTTCTAAAAATCATTTTTTGTTGTTCACTAGTTGTTTCTTGTTATTTAACTTACTTTTAAACACATCGAACCAAACTAAACGATTTAAGCATTGACAATAGCTTGTTGAAGACAAACAGTAGACCACAAATTGCAACCTTATCTTGATATAAAATAGAAACATTTGGTTCAAACAGCGCACTCTAAACGTTATAAACGTGAAAAACATAAAGCAAGCATCAAATTTGACAGGAAGATGATAAGTTCACTTTCACTATTCAAATTCAATGCTATTGCTTATTTTATTATATGTTAACGATGTAGCAATCTCGTTTGTAAGCTTTGAGCAGTGAAAGCATTAGTTAAAAGGCGGAAACTTTCAATGATTTGCAACAAAAGCGAGTGTTTTAACGAGAGGTTGTTCAAATGTCATTGTGCCTTTACAAAAGTGGTTCAGTCCGTAGTTTTGCGATGCGCCACCAGACTGCGCTCGTTATGTCAGGCTAGTAGTCTGCGAATGGAAAACCATTTCCTCTTATTTTAGCTTGGCTTTTATTCACACTTAAGAGTACCACACTATTTGTTACTTGGTGCATGTATACTGTGTTAAGTATTTATTTTTTTAAACAAACATGGATTTTTGGATGTGTTTCAATTTTTATTAGGATTCGGTTGGTTTAAATTATAATTATTATGACAAACTAAATGTTAAACTTTTAAGTATATTTGTACAAATAAGTGTATTATTAACAATGGTTAAAGAAAGTGTGTTACAATAATTACAGCACATTACAAGTTTGATTATACTTATTGATTAACTGTAGGTGAAATTTTCAACAATTTTGTATCAACATTTCAATTTTAACAGGCCTTTTATAATAAAAATTATGGTATTTTTAATTACCCGTTAAGGTTAAGCCAAGTTATTTATTTCACAGATAGTTGTTTTCTTAAGTTCCAATATTTTATTTCCATTACGTATTACTTTCACATAATGTGGACAATATTTTAAAAATACAATTGACGTAAATAATTTCTGTCTTTGGCAAAATAATCACTTTACTCAGCAACTCGCAAAATTAAAGCCGATATAGAATGTTTATGTGTTGCTGATTCCTTGGCATTATGTACAACGATATTATATTCTAAGTTACTCAAATCTAGACATTATAAATAAAATGTCCATGTTTCCCGATTGTCTCCTAATACAAAAACTGCTTTACAGAACACGACAGGTCAGAATACGACAGGATAACATATCCAATAATTATATCACATCAAGGCATCTGCTAAAATAAAACTGTATATGCAACTATTTTACATTGTTAATGTTTCCTTTGAAAGCTAGTGCCCCCAGCTTATTTAGCTGCTAGGGTAGATCATAGAGCCTTCAGTAGAAAATCCTTTTCCACCCACTTCCAGCCAATCTTTTGAAAAGTGAAAATAGGCGTTGTGCCGGGGCTTGCGTTGAGTTACAACTAAGACTCTTGTTTGAGGGAAAGTCTGCGCCCCGCACACGGCAGCCATTACGGTATCCAACCACCCCACGAAATCCCGGAAAGGGTATGCGCGTTCACGCTTACAGATACTCAAAACAGTCAAAACCAACCAGATACCACATAGACTCTTTGCTAATATTTTTTGTTATAATTTAATTTTCTTCCAGACTGTATTCATTTAAGTACTACATTCAGAATAGGTAGGCTACTTTTCACCCACAAGTAATAAGATCTGCAGGGTTTTATATCTAGTTTATGTTTAGGACTAAATTTCAAATCTACTTGTACAATCAAAGTCATTATCTATCTAAACGAAAATATTGTTTCCAAATTACACCTCTTTTGGATAAAAGAATGATATAACTGTATTGTTATTTTTTGTTTTATTATTTTTAACTGCTTTTAACTAATTTTCATACCATGCAAACCAACTGAAAGAGTGTTTTATTTACATATAACTTAATTCAAAAAAAATTGGCTGGTTGTTTTAGGCAACAACTATTCATAATCAGTGAACAATATTTTGCTGTAAATCAGCTCGTTTTGTTTAAGCCAAAAGTTAATGTACTTCAGTTTCCTACCCTGAGCCAACAATGCATCCATGTATCAAATTTATTTCCGCCCTCGCTGCGAGAATTGGTCCAGATGATTTCCATTATTTGCCTATAAAAGCTCAATTGACCATCTAAAATTTGCTTTATGTCCCAGCCATAGCATGTACAGAGATGTTTAAATTGATGTTTATGGCTATTTGTTTACAAATTACTTAAACTAATCTACTCATACATGGCAAGCAGTTTTAAACCCTAAAGAAAGGGAGAATCGAGAATTATATAATAATATTAATAGGCTATGGTTAGTAATGGAGTAACTTCACTTAAGTAACATTTTAATTTGATATAATGTAGGGTCCCTTTTTGAATATCATTAGTGAAAATTATGTCTACTCATGTCATTTATACTTGTTACTTATTTAGGGTTTATACATGCAATAAGGTATGCATTTACTGTACATTCATTGCTATACAATGAATATAGCTAAACAATTTAGTTGAAAGGTTTAAAATGCTAACAAGAATAGAAAAAGAATGTATAGTAATCTTTAAATGCCATCTTAACAAATATACTCAATTTTACATAAAATTTCAATTGGGTTCACTGAAACTTTTCCACAATATATAAGACTAATGATTACTAGCACCACTTTTGATAAGAATGTTTTAGTTTGTTGTATTAAAATACTAACTAACTGTGCTCTACATGCTTTATGATTACCTTGAAAGTAAACACTGTATAATTTTTTTTATCATGTTTTTTTATCATTTTTTTTCTGGGCCGTCTCTAACACTACCTCTTACACATTTATACACTTTGCACTTATAAATTGCATATTTGTGTTAAAACGGGTTTAATACTTAAAGTCAAGAAACCACAGCTACTACACAACATGCAAACAAATTGTAAGATTCCCTAGATGAATAGGATAGACTTTGAATTGTTTTAGAGAAATTTTAGCAAATATTGGGAATAATCTATGTTTAAATTTGATTGCGCGCCACGATAAAATGTTCTAAAATGATTTAGTATGTGCGTATAACAAAAAAGGTATTTGTTTGTTTATTTTTATTACTCCAAGTTCTATAAAACTAATAGCAAGACTGTCTATTCTGAAGCGGTGTTTCACTACAAGCTTATGCTGTATGCACTAAATAAGCAAAGCATTTAATGAAATTACAATAAGTTTGTGGAGTTAAACGTTACGGTGATTAATGTGTTATAACGAAATATAAAAAAAAATAGGACACTACTATATATTTGTGGAGTCCATTTTATGTCACAAATCATTCAGACAAAGGATTAGTTGCAGACAGCTTTACCAAAACTAGGTTAGGGATTTGCGAGGCAATTATATTTAGCGTTTAAACTCGATTGAGTAAAATCTAAATATGACAAAGTTTTATAACTTTTTACATTTTATGTGACCTACTAGAGTTTTGTGCAAACTAGATTGGGGTTTTAAAACTAACATTGAATCTAATTAAATGTGATTCGTACATTATTTAATAAGTTATGTAGAAGTTGGCTTATTATTCAACTAGCTTCAATTATCTATTCATTAAAGAATAATGGTGACAATTTCAATTAAAAGAATTAAAGTATTAAATATGAAATTCAATTTAGCAAGGTCATAATTTTGTAGCGTGATCATTCAAAATGTTAAAAGGTCCGATTGACCAATATCTTTACACCTATCAGCGTTGTAATAAATGTATATCTTACAGCCATAGATAACATATTTGTCTGAATTTTTTTTTATGTTTATCAATGCCTTTTTAATTTTTTTTACTATTATAACTAACTATTATTATTACTTAAAGAAACCAACGCGCCCCTGATGTACATTTTAATCTGGTTATAAACAGTATTGTGAATGTTGGAGTAATGCGCGATGACTTTTTCATTACTCTAATACTTAATGGCAATTCTGTGTACAGTTTTGAACCATTAAAACGCTACTCATTTTTCTCCGTATCAAACTAGAGATATTTAGTCACAACTACACAACGACCCAGCACATATTACATTTTTAACAATTTCTTCTGACAAATTATCTAGCTGTTATCAAAATATAGTTTTTAAGTGTGTCGTGTAGTTATTAAGGATTGTTTAGTTGAGTTATTGAAATTCTCTAAGGTATGGAGTAATATTCCCGCTGGTTCAAAATGTATCGAATATTAAACTAAATTGCCTTTACTAATCCTTCATCCTGTTCTTGTGAGAGTAGTAAACAAGCTGTAAAGCAGATTTGTTTCCAGCCAAGTCTAGAGAAGATGTGAATAATGTATACCTGACTGACACTCGTAAAGCTACCAGTGCTTGGAGTCCTTGTCTGCAAGAAATAGATAGAAGAAGGAAGGCACGGATACACAAAAATAACTGGTTGGCCACTTGTCTATCACTAAAAACCCCCCTCCCAACCGATATAAAATGTACACTCAACCTAGCAGATTGGACCACCAATTGAGCTAGTTCAATCTGACTCACCGCTGGGCTCTTTAATTCCTCTACAAATACTTAAACAAAATCACAGAACACGATTCATATTTGGTGGAAGTGTCGATTTTATCCTTACTTAGTATACGCTACTATGAACTACTATAAAGTAATGTGAAAAACAATTCCGGGCTCGTGCCTAGCGTCCTAGGACAAAAAATATATGTATTTATTTGCACACACTCTGTTTTGTAAAAGTGGCCCACCCTTCTCAACCTTTGTTTTACAAAATAAAACTGCAAGAACTGAGAAATAAAAATGTTAATTCCAACCAATTCTATTATTTTCACATCAAACAATACTTTAAACTCTTTTGTTGCGAGATTGATACCAAGACAAGTGGTCAACGCGTACTACAAAGCTACATTGAAAGCAACAAAGGGGGAAGAAAGCTGTCCGGGTCAGTTCTTTGTTCTTTTTAATCTTTCCACTCAAAAGAACAGTGGCAAGATCTCAAAGACACTCTGCATTCAAGTAATTGCTGTGTTTATTTCGTTTTTGTTCTATCCCTGTAAATCCATTTTGCATATTTACTGTTTAAAACTGACTTGAGTAAATGTATATAGTCTTCAGCTTTATGGGAATTGAACGAAATAAGGGACATTGTGATATTAAAACTATTTAATATACTTATTAAACCGAAGATAAAAATTATCTTTGAATAATAAAGTAATATATAAACTTTCTAATCAAGTTTGTAAATAATGCACTAATGTTTCACAAACTAAAGAAAAGTTTGATGATTACTTCAACTATGATTTTTGAGTCTAGAGGTACTTTCATACATGTATTTCAGCTTAATGCGTTTATTTTAATTGGAAAGTTATTTACAACAGAATCCTTAAAGAAAACATTTGTAATTGTCTGGGAGTACAGTTTGCTTCAAACGCTTTTTAAACTTAGAATATTATAATTTATAAAATATTAACACGATAAATTTACAAATACCAGATATTTTCGCACGTATGTTCCACAACAAACATCTTCTTAACATCGGTTCGCTCTGCTATATTTTTTTTAAAAGGACAGCTTTCTTCAAGGAACATAACAATAATACCTTACATGGCTTAGGTGTGTTCAAACATAGGATTAACAAGTATATTAAGTTAAGAAGAAATTCACATGATTATATTGTTCCAACATCTAAGCTTATGCTAATACTTGCATACCTCACAACTAATGTAAACACAAAAGTAACACCAAATTGTTATTTCTGTAAACGTTTATCTACTAGTAGTACAACTTGGAATTTCTATTTTAAATCCATGATTGTATTGATACAGTAACAAAATACCGTTTACGTGAAATTTTCAAAAATTGCACACTTTTTGTCGGCTAATTATTCCATGTTATTTCATCATATTTTCCTTATTACATGTTAACTATACATTTTTAATTATTCATACACAACAAAAAAGCGGTTAAAACTAACTATTTTAGACCTTCTATTTAGCATAAAACAAGCTATTCATAATACGCAATGAAAATAATTTTAATGGAGTGTGCTTCGATTTTGAATGGCTTTACTTCTTAATTTATTCTTGAAAAAAGAATAACCTAAATTCAAAAGCCAGTAGTTTTTAATTCTAGACTCTCATTTTCAAGGTCTACAAAAGAAATAATAAGAAATATTTTTTGCACAAGTATTTTTTATATTAAATCGGTTCCCAAAATGTTAAGAATTAACTGCCCTCAAGATCTTGCGAACTTGAAAATATAGGAGTTGTTCCTAAACTAAAATAATATATAGCTAAAACTTGGCACTTAACATAAACCACATTGTTTATAAGTTTTTCACGAGTTTCTAAGAGAACCGTTTTTCTTTTTTTTTTTTTTTAACTGCTCTTTTAGTTTGAATGTACTGTATCGTGTAATCAGTTAGTTTATAGCATAAAAAGTTGACTTTATAACAAACAATTTTAATGATAGGCTTAGATTAAAGTTGTATTTGAAAAGTTCAAATATGCACATTAACTTATGCTTTTTTGAATTTAATAATTTATAACATGACTATTCTTATTAAGTTTTATAGCCAGTAAAATGGATGAACTACTCATACACTTACATTTTCATTGGGTAGCTCGTTGGTGTGTAGTTGTAGCTTTGAAAATTATTATCAAACACTGTATTAGGTGTTTTGCATTGTTTTAACGATGCATAAAATATTATTTTATATAGGTAAAATGTCAGCTTTTTTCCCACATTTACCAGGTACTAAATGTTAATAAAACGAGGTATTTGATTCTATGTTTTAATTACAAAGTAAATATTCAATAGTACTTTTCGTACGAAAATGCCCATTGATTATTTGTTTGTTTTATTATTGGTTTTACTCTTTGAAGGACATGTATAAAAAAAACTTCCCAAAACTTACTTTCCTCTCGTCATTAAATAAAATGTGAAAACAATTACAACCCTCAAATGTAAATTCAACAATTTTAAAGTTTAAATTTTTTCTGAGAGCTAAGCAATAAATGCAAAGTTTTCCAAACTACATTTTCAGGTCCTGATCGTTCACTATGGAACCGTAAAACATTATATCTTCCGAAATGCGGCGCCAAAATACAACTTGAACTGGAACCAAAACATCGCCATTACTCTTTGGAAAAATCACCTCCTTTTATCAACAACTTCCATTTCTTTTACACCATTTATGCTGTGCAAGAGGTATTGTATTGAAACAGTTTTTAGAGTTTTTGCTTGCATATTTTGTAAGCATATTGTGTAAAAAGTATTGTGTTTACTTTTACTAGTTTACTTAAATGTATAACACCGGGAACGTATATTGCTTGACACAATAAAAGTAACCATATTATCATTCATAGGCTTATACTATTGTAATCGTTACTCTCAGATATCTAAAAATGGAAACATGAGTCATCTGGTTTATCTATTGTTGGTGTATCCATGATTGAAATAACTATTTTTTATAGCTATAAATATAAATTGTCATTGCTGTTACATGTGGTAACAAGAGAATCACCTAATTAGGCACACTATATTATAGGGCAATAGCCTTTTATACTGCAGGGAACAAATGTGTGCAAGAAAATAATGCATATTATACATCTGGCCAAACATTTTTGTTTGTTGATTACTTTTAATAGTTCGAACTACAAATCCTTAAAATAAATTCCGAGATATTTCTAATAATTTGTATTTTAAAACATCGAGTGAAAATTGTTATTCAATGTTTATTTAGTCTAACATAAAATTCTCAGATATTCTTATAAACATACCAACAACAATTAATTCAACTGGAAATTTACCGTACGAAGTCATTCATGTACATAATTTGCCCATAATCAACTGTTCTCAAATAGGTAAAAATGTCCGTACTTTTTTCTTTATTAAATACCACCCAATCCATGCCATTAAATCCATACTTTAATGTGTTATTAAATACATACGAATCCATACACTTTACCTCATTTTACTGTATATAAATAGCATATATCACCACAAAATTGTTAATATTTGTAATTAATTTCATCATGGAAAAGGTTTTGCCACAACACTGTATGAAACCATATGGCAGTTACTTTTCAATAATTTTACTATTTGCTCGGTGAACCAAAAAGGTTTATTTGGTTAATGAAGAAAAATTGAGTTTACATTTATTTACTAATTTCGGTATTTAATAAAAACCTTCCTTAATATATTTTACACCTAAAAGAAATGAGTTGTTGTATTTAGTAATAAATTATCTTTCAACTAAACATCAAATCATGAAATCATATGACATGTTAAAGATGACTAAAATCAAAGTTGTTAAAAAAAGCAGATGGCGATAAGTTTTGATTTCTGGATTTATGGGTGCTGAATAATTTATCAATATGAATGGTGGTTTTTTAATGCATGAACAGCTGAGGGTCATAGTCCTCCTTAACTAATACACAGTTTTATTATTCTAAAGTCTTTACACTTGCTCAAGTTACAATAATCATGGATATACTTCATGTCTACACAATTCCCATTAAGTTATTAAAAAACTAACTTAATAAATAATAATGTTAAAAAAATAACTTAATGGGAATTGTGTTGATGTTTAGTTGAAAGATGTTTTATTACTAAATACAACACCTCATTTCTTTTAGGTTCGAAATATATAAAGGAAGGTTTTTATTAAATACCGAAATTAGTAAATAAATTTAAACTCAATTTTTCTTCATTAACCAAATAAACTTTTTTGCTTTAGTACCTTTTGATTAAGTAAAATTATTTGCAAAAAGGTACTCTTTCATCAGTAAATTGTGACATAAATGCCTTCGTTGATGGACAGAAAAGCTGTAAAGTTAAGCACCACCTCACAGAGTTGTCCTGGAAGGTACAAACTGGCGTCTCGACCTCATAGATTATGTACAAAGCTGCCCGGACGCTCCATTCTGCCAGAGTCATTGTTTCGACCTAACGTCGTTTTTATGGTAATGGAGGACTCAGAATTTATGGAAGTAATTTTGTTCTGAAGTAATTCAATTACAAGTGTACTGTGTAGCCTACGAGGGGGAAACTGGTTTTAATTTACAAAGGCATAGTCAATATGATTAATAAACGTAAAGAATATAGAAATTACACCGTTCGTCGATAAGATACATATAATATCACTTAAAAAAAAAACTCAAGAAAGCACAAATAGAAACACATATTTATTTATATCGTGTTTATTCAGAGTCAGTAGGATTAACCTTACAATGAAACAATGAATAAGTCATCTAAATACAGAAATAAGAAAACACCTTAGGGGTCGAATAAGGCTAAGCTAGTCAGGTTTGCCCCATTTTACAATTAAAATACTGTAGTAATATTTAAGCTATTTCTTATTCGAACTTGTTGAAC